CACTGCAACCTCTGCCTCCTGGGTTCAAGTGATTCTCCTGCCTCAGCCTCCTGAGTAGCTGGGATTACAGGCGCCCATCACTACGTCCAGCTAATTTTTTGTATTTTTAGTAGAGAGGGGGTTTCACCATGTTGGTCGGACTGGTCTTGAACTCCTCATCTCAAGTGATCCACCTGCCTCAGTCTCCCAAAGTGCTGGGATTACAGGCGTGAGCCACTGCGCCCAGCCAATTTTTGTATTTTTAGTAGAGATGAGGTTTCACCATGTTGGCCAGGCTGGTCTTGAACTCCTTATCTCAAGTGATCCGCCCGCCTCAGCCTCCCAAAGTGCTGGGATTACAGGCGTGAGCCACTGCATCCGGCCAGAATTTGAACTTTAATTCTTCAAATTGTATGGCATTTTCAGGTACCATCGAGGGCTTTTCTTCTGTACTTCTATGTGTTCAAATATGGACCTTGTTCCAAAAAGATAGTGTTGTGGTTCCCTGTAATGTCAAGAAATCTGTTAATGCACGAGACACGGAAGATGTTGGAAAGTGACTAGTGAGAATTGAGTTGGTTGCTGTAGGATATTGTCATTTAAATTATTAAGTGAATATATTTATATATTTAAAAATTAGATGTAGGTAAACCTCAGAAATGGGAAAATGGAGATAAATCTTAGGAGAGATTTGTGAACCTTTTACTTAAGACTGTGTTCAAAACTTTGTCTATTTGCTATTCATTATTATTTTGATATATTAATTGCTAGTGAGATTAAGATATTTTTGACACATCCTCTTCATTTAAGGTCATGGATGTCTTATATCATTCTTATATAAGCATATTTGTAAGATACTATATGTATTCCTTTTTTAGTCCAGTTTTTTTTTACTAGGGGATTATGACTCATTTTGGCACTTTGCTTTTGTAGCTTACTACCATGTGACATTTTATATCTTTGCAAAAACCAAGTAATTAGACCCTTCATCACAATTTCCATACTTAAAAAATTAGTATTAAGTTTTTACATGTTAACAGTAAAAGTAGCGTTTTAACAATTATCCTTTCCACATTATTTGATACATGCTATTGGTTTTGTCTGTTATTTTTATAAATATATAATTTGCTTTAATTACTTAAATGTTCCTTGAGCCTTAGAAACTTAAATCCTGATAAAGGTTTTACTTTTTAAAATACTTAAGTTTGTTATTTGTGTGTGTCTTACAGAAAAATACGTGGCTTTTAAAAGATAAAAATTAAAGACATGGAATCTCTAGGACATATAAAATATGAGTAGAACTGTGTATTTATAAGATATTAATGTAAGCCTTCAGGCCTTGTAAGATCTTAAAGGAACTACTTCACTGTAAGGGAGCAGTTTGTCTTTCTACCTTTCCAATTATATTGAGATTTTGCCCAGTATGTCTTTTTACTTAAACACCTTGGTGAAAGCTATCCAGCATCCTGTTTTAAATCTGCTTTGTGGCAATTCACCATGATTACTTTCAGATCTGCTTCCATTCTCAGAAACTGAAACTGAAAGCTCAAGTGAGTGGGGAATCCGAATTGTTTTATTGCACGTGAGCCGAGCACTGTGCCTTGCCACTGTGCCTTGCCTACCACATCGTGTCAGTCAGTGGTGTTCCTTCAGTCCTTGTTATGTTAATAAAAAAGCTTTGGTTTTTGCAAGGCTTTGTTTTTAGAGGTTCTGGAAAGGAACATATTAACCAAAAAGAGCTGACTTCAATTTTGCTTGTTTTGAAAATAACTGACTACTAAAGGGAGATCAGGGAACATTAGTGAAATTGGAGAACTTAAGGAGTTAAAGTTTTAGCTATTTTTTTTCAAAGGATCTTGTCTTTCAAAATCTTTACCTTGCATTTTTGTTACTGTGATTTAAGATGGTTGTAATTATCGTTGATTGATGATACCTATCAAAAGGCAACTCTAACCAACCATTTCTGCTGGATTCTGAATGCCGAGAAAGAAAAACTGAGAACTTTGTGAACTATTAGAAGTTGCCTGTAAAATGAGATAATAATACCAACTTTACAAGGTAATGTAGGCTTTCGTGAAAACCAGTGTGTGAAAATGCTTAGTAATGTGCTGGGCATATTGCAGGTGCTCTACAAATGTCAATTATTGTACTTCTTTGGATATAAGATAACAACTTTTTTTCACGAGTAATTGTAAATTTTCTTTTCTTTTTTTTTATTTTGAGACAAGATCTTGCTCTGTTGCGCAGGCTGGAGTAAAGTGGTGTGATCTTGGATCACTGCAACCGCTGCCTCTTGGGCTCAGGTGATCCTCCCACCTCATTCTCCTGAGTAGCTGGGACTACAGGTGCACATCGTCACACCCAGCTAATTTTTGTATTTTTGTAGAGATGGGGCTTTACCTGGTTGCCCAGGCTGCCTTGAATTCTTGGCCTCAAGCAATCCACCCACTTCGGCCTCCCAAAGTGCTAGGATTACAAGAGTAGTTGTAAATTTAAAATGAATTTCTTTCCCATCCCATACCAGTATCAAAATGCAAATGTAGTAAATTACTTTTAAAAAGAGAGATGTTTAATGATAGTTGTTGTTGGTAGTCTTTTAACTTTACTTTGAGTCTTTAAATGGGTATATTATAGAAAAACAACGTATCTGCTTGGAGGGAAGATTTAACTAAAAACAAGAAAAAGAATGGTAGATGAACCATGATTGTTTACCATACAGGTTGCAAACTAGTGACCTGTCAGTTGGATTTGGCCTGTAGGTGTATATTTGGCTTATAATGTAATTTTTAAAAAATTAGTGGCCAACAATTAAAAATTGGGAGAGTTTTCAAAAGAAAATGCAGATTTCTGACTCATCTTGAAAAATGGTAAGATGAGCAGCACAGGGCCTGTATTCCCAATTGCAGCCCTCAGTGGAGCTTAGTAGGCTGTCCTCGCTGCCATCTCCTCAGCTCTCAGTTGCCATCACTCACTGCATTTGGACTCTTTTTCATATAGTGAGCCAATGGGGCAGTAACAGTTCTCATGTCCCTATCAAAAGAGGGAAACCTAGAATAAGGCCATTTGTATGTTTTTTTTTTTTTTTTTTTTTTTTTTTTGTGAGACGGAGTTTCACTCTTGTTGCCCAGGCTGTGCAAATGTGATCTCGGCTCACCCACAACCTCCACCTCCCAGGTTCAAGCAATTCTCCTGCCTCAGTCTCGCAAGTAGCTGGGATTACAGGCGCCGGCCACTACGCCTAGCTAATTTTTGTATTTTTTAGTAGAGACAGGGTTTCACCATGTTGGCCATGTTGGTTTTGAACTCCTGACCTCGAGTTATCCACCCGCCTTGGCCTCCCAAAGTGCTGGGATTACAGGCATGAGCCACTACACCTGGCTAGGCCATTTGTGTTTTAAGAGAAACAGGAAAGCATGTAATTCTTTGTGAAAATAATGAACATTTCTATTTATATCTGTCAAAAGTCCTATTTCTTAGAAGTTAAGACATAATTCATAGCAATTAATGTATGTGGAGAAGATATATAATGAAAAACTAGAAGAGGAAAATGAGAATAAAATTAGTAATGCTGCTGTGAGGAAAAGAACCTTCATGTACGTATGTATGATGAGAAACTTCCTAAGTGTCTAGAGATGGCAAGAAAATTTGTATGTTTTGCATGGCAGTAATTGCAAATATGAGCTTATCTGGAAGTATTGTTTGCATAGATGTTAAAAATCTGGGCAGAACAATGTATACCAAAATGCTAAATAATTTCTAGTGAGGCCGACATAACCTTATTTTTAAAATTCTTTAATTTTTGTTTTTGTATATTTTTTGAGACAGGGTCTCATTCTATCACCCAGGCTGGAGTGCAGTGGTGCTATCACGGCTCACTGGAGCCTTGACCTCCCCATGCTTAGGTGATCTCCCACCTCAGCCTTCTGAGTAGTTGGTGGCGTGCACCACCATGCCTGACTGATAGTTTGTATTTTTTGTAAAGATGAGGTTTTGCCATGTTGCTCGGGCTGGTCTTGAACTCCTGGGCTCAAGCCATCCACCCACCTTGGCCTCCCAAAGTTCTGGGATTAGGGGTGTGAGCCACTGTGCCCAGCCTGATAGAAGCTTAGAGATTAATATCACCTACTTAGCTGTGTTTGTATATGGTATCTATGTGAATTTTGACTGTTTCTCCCCTCTCTTTAGTCATCACCCCCTTTTTTGGTTCATTCTATCAGCAAACAATCTCTGGTAGAGACTCGGTAAGAAAACCCAACCATTACCTTAAGAAAAGTCATCCTCCGACGGGCGCGGTGGCTCAAGCCTGTAATCCCAGCACTTTAGGAGGCTGAGACAGGCGAATCACGAGGTCAGGAGATTGAGACCATCCTGGCTAACACAGTGAAACCTCGTCTCTACTAAAAAATACAAAAAACTAGCCGGGTGAGTTGGCGGGCGCCTGTAGTCCCAGCTACGCGGGAGGCTGAGGCAGGAGAATGGTCTAAACCCGGGAGGTGGAGCTTGCAGTGAACTGAGATCCGAACACTGCACTCCAGCCTGGGCGGCAGAGTGAGACTCCGTCTCAAAAAAAAAAAAAAAAAAAAAAAAGTCAGCCTCCACCCCCTTCCTTAGCCAGATGCTTCAGGGATGGTCTGCTTGCAACACCTCCTCTCCTTCACCTTTTTTCAACTGTTTAACCTGCCTGATTCTTTTTTTTTTTTTTTTTTTTTGTGAGACGGAGTCTCTCTCTGTCGCCCAGGCTGGAGTGCAGTGGCGCAGCTCGGCTCACTGCAAGCTCCGCCTCCCGGGTTCACACCATCCTCCTGCCTCAGACTCCCGAGTAGCTGGGACTACAGGTGCCTGCCAACACACCCGGCTAATTTTTTGTATGTTTTTAGTAAAGATAGGGTTTAACCGTGTTAGCCAGGATGGTCTCGCTCTCCTGACCTTGTGATCCGCCGGCCTCGGCCTCCCAAAGTGTGGGGATTACAGGCGTGAGCCACCGTGCCCAGCCCTTGCCTGCTTCTTATTCTCCTGTCCACCACAGTTTGCATTCCTCAGGCCATTCTTGTCTGCGTCGTTGAGGGCCTCCATGGTCCAGCCCCATCTCTCAGTAGCATTTGACACAGCTGGCTCTTCTGTGCCAAACTCTTAGCCGCTGTGACACAACTCTGCATATAGCCTTCCACATCTTTCAGCACAGTCCAGATGGTGGTGAGGGATGCTCCAGATCAGGGCTGAGGGTGGTGTCTTGTTGGCTGATGCCCTTACCCTGAATCCCTTAAGCCCTGTGTACCGTGAGTATCATAATTCCAGCCTTATATACTATGCCCTACATTTTGGGCTAATTTATGAAAGGATAAAAAATAGGACTTGGAAAGTAAAAATAACCCATGTTAAAGAATCTGAATTACATTAGGTGTACTTTTTGCCTCTATATTGCAGATACAAATGCTTGAATGACTGTGAGATAAAGGAAAGGGAAAAGAAAGTAAGAATTTGACGGGGGATGTCACATTCAAATAGGCAGTTTTTTTCCCCTTTAGAACATTTTTTTATAACATAGGTCATTTAACCAGTTGAGGTTCAAGTAGCTCTCAGATCAGCTGGTACAAGCTTGAGGGAGAGAAAAAAAACATCCTTACAGATACTTCTCATTCATCAACGTAGAATATTAGCTTTAATCAGTTTAGGAATTTGTATGCATTTTAATAACTCAATACCAACTTGTCAGAAGTCAGCTGAATTTTAGATAATTTCTTTCATTCCAGCCAAAGATGATAATCACAGACATGTATAAAAAAAAAAAAAAAAAGGGAGGGGGCGTTAATTGGGAGGCTGAGGCAGGAGGCTTGCTTGAGCCCAGGAGTTGGAGACCTTTGTGGACAACTTAGTGAGACTCCATATCTCCAAAAAAGGATAATATTAGCCAGGCATTGTGGTACATGGCTGAGGCCCTATCTAGGGATCTGCACTTTAGCCTGGGCGACATAGCAAGACCCGGTCTCAAAAAAAAGGACTTACTGCATAACTTCCTAACCATTCTAGGAAAAGTCAGTTGTCACATCAAAGTGAAAAATTGTTTTCTTTAAAGTAAAGTCGGATGGGTAGAATAAAATATACTGATGTTACTGCCATAGTCACAATTCTAAAGCACAACATAATTGTAATAATGTCACAAGCTTACTAAAGTTGCCACATGAAACAGAAGAAAATTAAATTTGGTGTTACTTATTTTTTTAAAGAGCATCTTGCTTTATTGCCCAGGTTGATCTCGAACTCCTGGCTTCAAGCAGTCCTTGGCTTCCACAGTGTTGGGATTCCAGGCATGAGCCACCCTGGCTGGCCATTATTATCTTTAATAACAGTTTTACATCAGCCACATTTTTCTTTATGGTTTTTACTTTTGATGTTAAACTTAGACATTTCTTTCCCCATTACAGTAGTGTTTCCCAGTTCTTTTTTAGTTTTACGTTTTATATTTGAATGTTTTATTTATCTGAAATTAGTTTTGTGGCATGAGGTAAGGATCCGACTTAATTTTTTCCCAAATGGTTAGCAAATTCTTTTATCACCTTTTATTGATTTGAGATGTTACTTTTATTGTATTCTCATATATATTTGGATCTACTTTTGGTCTCTTCTGACCTGTCTCTTGACAGTGGAATCACACTGTTTATATCAGTATAGCTTTGGGTATATTTTAATACTTGGTAAAGCAAATTTTTGTGACTTTTTCAAAGGTTGAGGATATTTGTTTATTTTTCCAATTGTCTTTAGAAATTTTTGGTCTGATTTTATTTAAAAGCCTGCTAATATTGACTGATGGATTGATTTGATTTGGACAGGATTACCATCTTTACAGTATATAGTTTACTAATTCATAAAATTGCGAGTCATCTTTCCCAAGTCTTCTTTTTTGACTTTCAGTAAAGTTTTGTAGCTTTTCTCATGTGTTATATTTTTGGGTGCTATTGTGAATGATACTATTTTTCCACTACATTTTCTAACCAGTTTTGTTAATACATAGACAACTTAATAATTTTTATTAAATCATTCAACATGTTTAACTTTCTTTTTCTAGTAACTTTCCAGTTTATTCTCATAGGGGATTTAAAATATCTTTAAATAATAATAACTTTACTAAATCAGTTTTAATATATTCGCAATTGGGACTTAGTAATGTATGGGTTTGGTTAGTGGTTTTATATCACATAGTTTTCTTTTTTTTTTTTGAGACAGTCTTGCTCTGTCACCTAGGCTGGAGTGCAGTGGCATGATCCTGGCTCATTGCAACTCCACCTCGTGGGTTCAAGTGATTCTCCTGCCTCAGTCTCCCCAGTAGCTGGAACTACAGGCACCCACCACCACACCTGGCTGATTTTTATATTTTTAGCAGAGATGGGGTTTCACCGTTGTTTGCCAGGCTGGTCTCGAACTCCTGACCTCAGGTGATCCACCTGCACAGTCCTCCCAAAGTGCTAGGATTACAGGTATGAGTGACTGTGCCCAACCACACGATTTTCTGTATAGACCCTATTTACAAACTTATGGTCTGAGGTACTGGGGATTAGAACTTTAATATATGAATTTAATTCGTGTATTAAATGCAAGGTTGGTCAAGCAAGGTTGGTGTTTGATGATTTCCTCAGTCTTTATTTTGTGACCACCAGTGAATAACCCATGTATTTGTGTTTTTAAACACCTTTATTTGATCAAGTGTGTCTCATATCTATGAAAAGTTTTGAATTTATTTTAACTTAATGTTTGTAGGTGTTTTTTGTTTGTTTGTTTGTTTTTTGCTATTCTAGTTATTTTATTTGTTTGTTTGGGTTTAGAATAGCAGAAATGTATTGGCTCCCAATTCTAGAGGCTAAACTTCCAAAATCAAGGGGTCCAAAATAGGAGTGTCCGCAGAGCCATGCTCCCTCTAAAGGTACCAGGGAAGGATCTGCTTCTGGCCTCCTTCCTAACTCCTGGTAACCTCAGGCGTTCTTGGGTTTCAGATGGCAGTTTTATCCCTGTCTCTCCACACATGTCTGTGGTGTCATATCCAGATGTCTCCTTTTTATAAGGTTGCTATAGTCATACTGGATTAGGCCCCACCCTGATAACCTCATTTTAATTTGATTACCTCTGTAAAGACCCTGTTTACAAATTTATGGTCTGAAGTACTGGGGGTTAGAATTTTAATATATGAATTTAATTCATTTTTATTTTTATTATTTTGAAATCATTTCATACTTATAAAAGATGCAGGAATACCTTTGTGAATGCCCATTCTCTTCATACCCACATTCACCAGTTTTTAACATTTTCTCCATATTTGCATTATAATTCTCTGCTTCTGTCTCTTCCCTCCTACCTGTACACACACACAAACACACACACTCACTTAAGAGTGAAATTATATGTATTCTGCCCCTTTACCCTTACTATTTCAGTTTCTATTTTCTTTTTGAGACAGAGTCTCGCTCGCTTGCCCATGCTGGAGTGTAGTGACAGGATCTTGGGTCACTGCAACCTCTGCCTCCCAGGTTCAAGTGATTCTCCTGCCTCAGCCTCCCGAGTAGCTAGGACGACAGGCGTGTGCCACCATGCCTGGCTAGTTTTTTTGTAGTTTTAGTAGACATGGGGCTTTGCCATGTTAGCCAGAAGGGTCTTGGTCTCCTGACCTCGTGATCCACCCGCCTTTGCCTCCCAAAGTGCTGGGATTACAGGCTTGAGCCACCGTGCCCGGCCCTCAGTTTCCATTTTCTAAGGACACGGATATTCTGTGTAATCATTCTTCAGTTATCAAATTCAGGGAGTTTAACATTGAGGCGGCACTTTGATCTGCAGTCTGTATTCCAGTTTTGTCAGTTGGCCCAACTGAGGTTTTTGTTTTTTTTTTTTTTTTCTTGTTTGTTTGTTTTTGTTTTTGCTTTTAGCATTTTTCCCCTCCAGTGGAGGATTCAGTCTGGAGTCACATGTTGCATTTAGTTGTCCTCCCTCTTTAATCTCCTTCTCTCTGAAGCAGTTCCTTAGCCACCTGTTGTGTTTCATGATATGAACATTTTTGACGAACACCAGGCCAGTTATTTTATAGAATATTCTTCGCTTTGGGCTTGGTGTTTTCTCATTGTTAGATTCAGGTGATGCATCTCTGGCCAGAAGTCTACATAAATGACGGATGTGTCCTTCTCAGGATATCAGACTCAGAAGCATACTATGTCTGTCCTACCTGTCATTGGTCGTGTTAATTTTGATCACCTGGTCAAGGTGTTTTCCAGTTTCTCCTCTCTATAATTACTGTTTTCCCCCTTGTAACTAGTAAGCAGTCTGTGGGGAGAAACTTCAACACCACACAGATTTCTTATTCCTCGTAAAAGTCACTACTCCCCTGCAGATTTAATTGGCCTTTACTATTTATAGTTGTAGAATGGTGATTTTTCCACTTTCATCACTAGTTCTACATTTATCATTCTGAATTATGTAAGAACCCTTCTAACTCCCTTATGTATTTAATTGATTTATCTATTTAGTTGTCATCGCTGTGGACTGATAGAGTCCATTTCGTTCAATGAGTTGTAGCCCTTATGGATTTTTTTCATCAGGGTCTCACTCCTGTTGCCCAGGCTAGAGCGCAGTGGTGCGATCACGGCTGTCTACAGCCTTGACCTCCCAGACTCAGTTGATCCTCCCATCTCAGCCTCCCAAGTAGCTGGGACTACAGGTGCACATCACCAAACCTGACGAATTTTTTTTTCTTTTAAGTATAAATGGGGGTTTCACCATGTTGCCCAGGCTTGATACTCCTGGGCTCGAAGGATCTTCCTGCCTCGGCCTCCCAAAGTGCTGGGATTACAGGCATGAGCCACTGTACCTGACCAGCCCTTATGTTTTCTGAGGTTAATGTTGTCCCAGATTTTGATAGTGAGAGTCTCTTCATTCTGGCTCTCTTGTCCTTTTGATATGGCCCTGTCATTTTTTCTTCCTTTTTAAAAAAAATAAAGAGCACTTCTTTATGCCATAGTGATGTTCCAGACTTCTTTAGAACTGTCTTTGCCCCATCCCCGGAATCAGTCCTGTCTCTAAGGAACCCTGGGTTCTCT